GGGATAGGGCTGACGGCATGCATGCAAACCTGGTCATTCCACTCCTCTGCTTACAATCCTTCAAAGGCTTCCCGGTCCTTCAAGACAACCTTCCAGATCCCTCATCATCTGGCAATGCCCCTTTCTCCAGCTTCCTCAGGTTGATACCTCTCCCCTTGACTTTCAAAGTTCCACCACCCTGGCCAATTGTGTTCATACTCACAGCTTTTACACATCCTGCTCCTTTCATCCATGTGCTATCCTTGCTTTCCACCCTTGGCTTCAGCTTAAAAATCACTTCCTGGCTGGGCGCCGTGGCTCACGCCCATAATCCCAGCACTTTGGGAGGCGGGTGGATCACCTGAGGTTAGGAGTTTGGAGTTCGAGACCAGCCTGGCCAACATGGTGAAACCACGTCTCCACTAAAAATACAAAAATTAGCTGGACGAGGTGGCAGGTGCCTGTAATCCCAGCTACTCGGGAGGCTATGGCAGGAGAATCGCTGGAACCCGGGAGGCGGAGGTCGCAGTGAGCCAAGATCATACCACTGCACCCCAGTCTGGGCAACAGAGTGAGACTCTCTCTCCAAAAACAAAACAAAACAAAAACAAAAACAAAAAATAAAAGGAGAGGCTTCCTGACTCCTAATCCAATCAGAACTCTCCATCCATAGTCTCTCAACATGTGCTTTTCTTTTCTTTGATCGGGCCTATCACAATTCTACGTTGATTTGTACCAACACCCTTTTCATACATAGAAACAGCTCTTAGAGTGGCCATGTGGTCTATTTTGCTCACTGCTGAATTCCTAGCACCTAGCTTGACTACCTGTCACCAGCAGGAACCGTCGTTCAATAAACGTCCTAAATAGGTTAATGAACCCTGGGAAGATTTAGCTCTAGGTCCTAGGCAAGTTATTTTATTGTTTGTTATTTTTCTAGATCTTCTTCTCCTTATCTGTTAGATGGGGATAAAAATAAAAACTAACAGGCCGGGCGCGGTGGCTCAAGCCTGTAATCCCAGCACTTTGGGAGGCCGAGGCGGGTGGATCATGAGGTCAAGAGATCGAGACCATCCTGGTCAACATGGTGAAACCCCGTCTCTACTAAAGCTACAAAAAAAAATTAGCTGGGCATGGTGGCGCGTGCCTGTAATCCCAGCTACTCAGGAGGCTGAGGCAGGAGAATTGCCTGAACCCGGGAGGCGGAGGTTGCGGTGAGCCGAGATCGCGCCATTGCACTCCAGCCTGGGTAACAAGAGCGAAACAACGTCTCAAAAAATAAAAAATAAAATAAAAATAAAAAAAATAAAAACTAACAACCTCAGAATTGCTGTGTGAATTAAATGAGCAACGCATGTAACATGCTTCGCATGGTGCCTGTCATGTAGTAAGGGCTGAGAAATGTTCCTTACTATTACCATCATTAAAACTAAGCTCTGTGAGGAAATGGACTCTCATACCTTGCTGGTAAGAATGTGAAAGTGATACAGTCACTCTGGAAAAACAGTTTACCAGTTTCTTAGAAAGTTAAACACAGACATATCATATAACTCAGCAATCCCATGTCTAGGTATTTACCCAAGTGACATGAAAACTTATGTTCACACAAAAATCTGACATGAATGTTTACAGCAGCTTTATTCATAATTGCCCAAAACTGGAAAAACCCATATGTCATTCAACCAGGGACTTGATAAATTGTGGTTGCATTCGTACAGTGGAATACCACTCAGCGAGAAGACATGAATTATGGATACATGCAACAACGTGGGTGGGTAATCCATAAATCCTTTATGTTGGGCCGGGCATGGTGGCTCACGCCTGTAATCCAAGCACTTTGGAGACCAAGGCGGGCGGATCGCCTGAGGTCGGGAGTTCAAGACCAGCCTGACCAACATGGTGAAACCCCATCTTTAAAAAAAAAAAATCCCCTAGGCCGGGCGTGGTGGCTCACGCCTGTAATCCAAGCACTTTGGAGGCCAAGGCGGTTGGATCACCTGAGGTCGGGAGTTCAAGACCAGCCTGACCAAGATGGTGAAACCCCATCTTTAAAAAAATAAATAAAATTTAAAAACCCTTATTTATGCTAAAAAAAAAAAATCCTTTATGTTAGGGGAGAAAACCAGACTGCACAGAAGTCACACTGTATGATTCCATCTATATGATTTTCTGGAAACATCAAAACTATAGGGACAGGCTGGGCACAGTGGCTCATACCTGTAACCCCAGCACTTTGAGAGGCTGATAATGGCAGATCACTTGAGGTCAGTAGTTCGAGACCAGCCTGGTCAGCATGGCAAAACACCTATCTACTAAAAATACAAAAATTAGCCAGGCATGGTGCTGTGCACCTGTAATCCCAGCTACTCGGAAGGCTGAGGCAGAATTGCTTGAACCCGGGAGGTGGAGGTTGCAGTGAGCCGAGATTGTGCCACTGCACTCCAGGCTTGGCAATAGAACGGGACTCCATCTCAAGGAAAAAAAACTATACAGAAATCAAGTCAGTGTTTGACAGTGGATGGGGTGAGGCAAGAGGGAATTTGGGGGAATAATGGAATTGTCCTATAACTAGATTGTGATAGTAGGTACATGGTTATATGCATGCATGCATTCATTCATTCATTTATTTGAGATGGGTCTTGCTCTGTCACCCAGGCTGGAGTGCAATGGCTCAATCTTGGCACACTACAACATCCACCTCCCAGGTTCAAGTGATTCTGTGCACCACCATGCCCCGCTAATTTTTATATTTTTAGTAGAGACATGTTTTACCATGTTGGCCAGGCTGGTCTTGAACCACTGACCTCAAGTGATCTGCCAGCCTCGGCTTCCCCAAGTGCTGGTATTACAGGCGTGAGCCACCACACCCAGCCGGTTATAAGCACTTATCGAAACTCATCATGTCATAAATTCCAAGAGTAAATTTTACTGTATGTAAATATCTTAATTTTTTAAATGACAAAATGTGCAAAACAAGTAGCTATAATTACCTTTTCTTTTCAGAAAAAGGTATTAATATTTTCTGAGCCTGAAAGTACTACAGGCTCATTGGAGACATTTGGGAAAATGTACAAACAATGTACATTCATCACGTGCAGAAAAGTCATGTTTTCTTGCTGTCAGTTTTATTGGCACAGAATACACATAACACACACACACACACACACACACACACAGCTGGGACTAGGCTGTGCATTTTTATGAAATCATACACTTTGCTTTCTGAAACATACTGTGCACATTTTTCATGTCATTAATTTTCCAAATCGTGTTTTTTAAGAGACAGAGTTTCACTGTGTTGCCCAGGCTGGAGTGCAGTGGCGCAAAGCAATTGTAGCTTACTGCAGCCTCTAACTCCTGGGGTCAAGGGATCTTCAGTGATGGGAGACCTAGACCACTGACATTCTGTCTCAGAAAGTAAATAATTCCCTGCCTCAGCCTCCCGAGTAGCTGGGGCTGCAGGGCTGTGCCACCGCACCAGGCTCAATATATATTTTGTCTTTTTTTCAATTTGTATTTTTTAGCATTCCTTTGTTGTTACAAATTATATTGTTCATGTAATTATTATTTGTGAATTAAAAGAAAAAAATGATAGTGCTTCCATTTTTTACTATGAGTAACTCTGATAACATTAAAAAAATGTTGAGTGGGGCCAGCGCACTTGGAGTTTCCCGGTTGACCTGGTGAAACGCGTCCTCCTTTGGCGGCAATTCCCTGGCTGTTTTCAGTGTGTCTGCAGGAAAAGTGGTTCCACAGGGTGACCTGGCTTCTTTGTTCTTTGTAGGGGGAAGGGTTGGGCACCCCACTATCTCCTGTATTACCAGCTTGAATTTGCATCTCGCTGTTAATGTTTAATTCTGTCCATATCCACGCGGAGTCATCATTTGTTTCAGATCACACAGTTTCTCAGTGGTGGAATACTCGGATATTCAGTCTCAGGAAACACCTCTCCACCTCCTAGGCGCTGCCTACTCACCTGACTTTAAAAAAGACGTTTCAGGCAGGGCGCGGTGGCTCACGCCTGTAATCCCAGCACTTTGGGAGGCCCAGGCGGGCAGATCACGAGGTCAGGAGTTCAAGACCATCCTGGCCAGCATGGCCAAACCCCCTCTCTACTAAAAGAGGGAGACCCAGGCTTCTCAGATCAACTTCCCCTTTGACTACCATGCTGCATTTCAATAGAAGAAAAGGTTGACCGACTGGCGCCTCCAGTTTTACCTTCCTATAGGTTACAGGCTAGGTGGGGAAACTATCCAGAAGGCACTATTTTTATTTAAAACAAGATCAAACCAGAAACCTTTTCACATGTTAGTCCTAAAACTGTAAACTGGAACCCTTTCATATGTGATTCCTGAAACTGTAAACCAAACCCTTTTCACATGTGAGTCCTAAAACTATGAACCTAAGATTCTTCCACGTGTAACATCTAAAGTATAAGCCTATATAAAGGTAGAACCTTCCTTTGCTAGAGGAGCTGGGTTTTCGACAAATTACTGCTTGGTCTCTCCGCCGAATAATCTCCTCCCTCCTTTATTCAGTGTTCGAGATCCGTTTCCGGCGGCCGCTCCTGCTACAAAAGTACAAAATTCGACGGGTGTGGTGGCACATGCCTGTAGTCCCAGCTACTGGGGAGGCTGAGGCAGGAGAATCGCTTGAAGTGAGGTGGAGGCTGCAGTGAGCCGAGATCGCGCCACTGCACTCCAGCCTGGGCGACAGAGCAAGACCTCATCAAAAAAAAAAAAAAAAAAAGGCGTTTCTCCCGCTGCGGGGCTGGCTTTCCTCCAGGAGTCCGGCTGGGGGCCAGGCCCTGCCCCAGCCTCGGGGCCCTCAGCGGCGGCGCGCCCTCGGCGACGGAAGACGCCCCGCCATCCTAAGGACGCGCTGGGGGCACGCGGGGCCGCTCGGGAGACCCAGCACGTGACCGGAACACCGCCAGGCTCAGTCCGCCGTGATCCCACAGGTCCCCGGTCCCGGAAGTGCCGCAGCCTCCCGGAAGTGTCGCGACCTCCCGGAAGTGCCGGAGAGGCTGACGGAGCCCGGCTCGCCGGGGCGCCGCTGCCGAGGCAGGGTTGAGGTGCTGGGGCTGGGTGGCGGCCGGGGGCCTGAGTGGGGCCCCGCGGAGGTCGCAGGGGCTGGGCGGCGGAATGATGGAGGAGGAGGAGCTGGAGTTCGTGGAGGAGCTGGAAGCGGTGCTGCAGCTCACGCCCGAGGTGCAGCTGGCCATCGAGCAGGTGAGCGTCCCGCCCCTCGGGCGGCGCTGAGGGAGGGCCGCGAGGTGGCCTCGGTGAGGGCGTTTCTGAATGAGAAGGAAAGAGCCCTTTCTAGGCCTCAGTCGTCTGTGGCGAGGGGCGGGGGTCCTGGTGGTTTTTGGTAGGCGCGTTCGAAGAGGACGGACCTAGAAGGGTGCAGGCCGTGCATGGCGGCCTCAGAGTCTGCGGATTGCGGGGGTTCACTCCTTGAGCAGACCAGCGCCGACGCCCCGGTTTTTCGGCCTGCCGGGCGGGAGGGGCTTGGGATTGGGAAGCGTAGGAGGGCAGAGCATAGAGAAAATACTGAAAAGTGACAGGTTCCTATTCTTAAAAGGTCGAGAATTCCTGCTGTGGAGTAGTTCAGGTTAGCTTGGAGAATACTCCCAAGGGGCCTCTTTTCCCAAAGGAACTTTTTTTTTTTTTTTAGACGGAGGCCCACTCTGTCGCCCAGGCTGGAGTGCAATGGCGCGACCTCGGCTCACCGCAACCTCCGCCTCCCGGGTTAAAGGAATTCTCCTGCTTCAGCCTCCCGAGTAGCTGGGACTACAGGCGTGCGCCACCGCGCCCGGCCAGAGAGTGATTTCTAATACTGCAGGGCAGGCCAGGCGCGGTGACCCACGCCTGTAGTCCCAGCACTTTGGGAGGCCAAGGAGGGTGGATCACCTGAGGTCGGGAGTTCGAGAGCAGTCTGACCAACATGGAGAAACTCCTTCTCTGCTAAAAATACAAAAATTAGCCGGGTTTGGTGGTGCATGCCTGTAATCCCCGCTACTCGGGAGGCTGAGGCAGGAGAATTCCTTGAACTCGGGAGACGGACGTTGTGGTGAGCCGAGATCGCGCCGTTGGACTCTAGCCTGGGCAAGAAAAGCAAAACTCCCTCTCCAAAAAAAAAAAAAGAAAAAATACTGCAGAGTATTGCTGTTGATAAAGGGAGAATATCTCCCTTAAAGGAATTATTGTGGAGTTATGATTTAGGAAAGGGATTTATGATTGAGGAAATGGACAATTCCATTATGTCTTATTTAATGACCCTTGAGAAGCTTTTCTTTGTATTTTTAGTAGAGGTGGGGTTTCACCGTGTTGGTCAGGCTGGTCTTGAACTCCTGACCTTGTGATCCGCCCACCTTAGCCTCCCAAAGTTCTAGGATTATAGGCATGAGCCACCATGCCGGGCCAGAATTTTTTCTTTAGCTGTCCCATTGAATGAAATTCTGTAGTAGCATACTTGTAAAGAGTAGCGAAGTGTGAGGAGTCAGGAAGGCCTAATATAGTGGAATCACATTTTACTTCAAGCTTAAGTCCCAGAGCCATTGCCTAAGCTGAAAATCAGTCACTGTGCCCTGAGGTTATTTAAATTGCCCGCAAAATACAGTGTGTGCATCTCTTTGATGCTCTAGGGCTGTTGGTTTTCCTCCTCTAGCACTGGAACCAGACACTTTTTTTCAGTTAATACTGAATGAAGTAGTTGGCTTCTGTGAGGGGCCTTGTTACATGCAAACATTTTAAAACCTAGGGCAGCACTAAAATCAAGCAGGGTGAGAGGAATACAGAAACTGAGACCAACTTGGGGAAATAGACAGTTCATGTCTCTTACGTCATGCTCTCAACCCAGTATACATTCCCTCTGGTGAGCACGTGTCATTGAGATGGTGTAAGTAACATGTATACGTGTATTATGGAAACAGCAATGCTAAGCATTTTAAAAAGAAAACATCTTTACTCTCATCCACCTCCCCTTGTTGTGGTAGAAGGTTTAAACTTTTCTCACAGTTGTCTTAGAAGACATTTTGATTCTTTGACACTGCATTTCTTTGGAAGCCTTCTTCAAGGTGAAATTGCTTCCCACAGTTATAACTCTCCTGAGCTGGTGAGACCCAGTATCCGGTGGGTCATTTGACTGCTTGTGTCATCCACCTTGTTGTATGTTCTTCAGGTTGTTAGGGAGTTAGCTGTATTTCTCAGAAGTGGACTTTTTTTTTTTTTTTT